AAAAGATACAGGGTAATTAAAATAAATGAAAATATATTTCCTTCGAAATAAAAAATTAAAGGTAATTATTTTTAAATCTTGACACCTAAAAAGTCATAACAGGTTTACTCCAGTCGGGTTAGACAAAAAAAGGGCTTAACCAGGAAAAAATTAGGGACTACAATTTTATTGTTCTAACCTTTAGGGGGTCAATAGTAGTGTAAATTCGGAATGGCGACTGAATTCCACCCCTGCGTCAGCCGCCATCTTGAATTTAAGGAAAAATCGTTTTTGCTCAAGATCTCGGCCATTTTCAATTTTACAACAAAAATGGTAAGGACTTAAGTTGTTGCAAATGCGATTTCCTACAACTTCTTTTATTACAAATTTTATCGTGCGATCGATATTTTTCAAGTTAAGGGGGAAAATAGTGACAAAGTATAATTATTGAATTATCTCGTTTGTTATTGACTTTACGACATAAATATACATATACAAAGTTGGAAAGAATTATATTTATTACAATTTTGATCTCTTTGATTTTTTTGTTACTACCAATATTTAAGGTCCTACGCTTGCGGTAAAGACGCGAGCGTACCTAGGACCTTGCGGGAGTTGGTTTCAAAGGAATTGTTTTTGCTCAATATCTCGGCCATTTTCAACTTTACAACAAAAATGGTAAGGATTTAAGTTGTTGCAAATGCGATTTCCTACAACTTCTTTTATTACAAATTTTATCGTGCGATCGATATTATTCAAGTTAAGGGGGAAAATAATGACAAAGTATAATTATTGAATTATCTCGTTTGTTATTGACTTTATGACATAAATATATATAAACAAATTTGGAAAGAATTATATTTTCTACAATTTTGATCTCTTTGATTTTTTCGCTACTACCAATATTTAAGATCCTACGCTTGCGGAGACGTCAGGCCTATGGAATGTTCCATAGGCCTAAAATCATTTTTTATAAATTTACAGTTACAGAGTTACAGTAGCATCCCTCTGAGGTGGAACACTCTGTATATGCGCATTTCTAGGTTTACTTAATAAAAAATATTTAACTTTCAATCATATTTTTATTATTGTGTAATGGCTTGTGCAGTTGACTCTGCAGGTAGTGAATTTCCTAGGTGATTATTGATTAAATTCAATTTCAAATTGTCAACAAGTTTTATGTATCGTAAAGTAATCAAATATAATTCCGTAGGTATTATAAGAGTAATTTCAGTGAGGCCATTTAATGCATGTGTCACAAATTTTGCAAATAAAAACAATTAAAACCTTTCAAAATAGAAAATCAATACGCTCAACAGTAGGATCTGGAAAGTGCAGCGAATATTGAAATCAAAATTACCAAAACTATTTGGTTTCAACGTAATTCTTTGCTATAAATTTAGAAGAACTCCTATTTCTGCTCAAAGTTCTTGCGAGTGTTTTATTTCGTTCTCGATTTTCGTAAATACGTACTTTATTAGCAATTTATGGAATTTATATATTTATGCTCTTATAATAAATACCATTGAATACATAAACTGATTGTAAATATGTAACAGCAGAGTAATATCTGAAATAAGTTAAATATAAAGTATAATTGCAATTTATAATCAATATCAAAATGTATACAGGGTGTTTCAATTAAAACGCCCCACCTGGAAAATATCGGAATTAAAAATAAAAACAAAAAAACCTGAGACACGCCGATTTCCTTTTCAAGGGGGACACGTGATGGTGTAAGTTTTGGTGTGTTGCAAGCTACCCCTTAGGCAGGGGCTTGAAATAGGTACCCTTAAACTTTAAATGGCACCCTATACGACATGCGACTTTTTAAATTTTGGTTTGGATATGACAAAAAAACTCACCTAAATAATAATCAGTGAATGAAAGAATGTTATTTTATTAAATATTGGTTTCACTCCGCCTCCATACAGTAATAAAATCTTTACTCCACTTCCGAACAAACATTTCGAAGCGTTTCGGGTATTATCTGATGAAATTCTTCAACAATTCGCAGATGAAGCTCCCTTCGGTCGTGTTGTATAAATTTTCGATTTTAAGTGTTCCCATAGAAAAAAGTCTAAAGGCGTTAGATCTGGCGATCTGGGAGGCCACTCAATTGAATCTCTGCGTCCTATCCAGTGATTTGGAAAGTTCAGATTAAGAAAATCACGCACAGCTAGGGCATAAAGTAGTGGAGTACCATCCTGCTGAAACCACACATCCTTTTCTGGCAAAGCGTTGTCATTTTTCATACTTCTACAGTCATCGGGTAGATATTCGTTTCCAGTAGATTCAAGTACATGTTTCCATCCAGATTTCCCGGTAGGAAGAAAGGACTTATGAGGTGGTCTCCCAGTATGCCCGCCCAATCATTCAATTTCCTCGGATGCTGCGTATGAATTTCATGAAAAATGCGTGGATTTTCATCACTTCAGTAGCGACAATTATGGAGATTTACTCGAGCATCCAGTTGGAACGTACATTCATCGGAAAAACAGTATGAGTACAAAAAAATTTGGATTCCTTCGATCACGATCACTAATTTCTTCACAGAACTGAAAGCGGAGATCAGGATCATCTTTATTAATTTCTTGTACCAAATTAATTTTGTATGGGTGACACTTAAGATTCGGCGGCAACTAAGCACAGAAATTCCTGAAGCACTTGCAGGTTTCCTGAGACTCAAATTTGGTTCTATTGCGATGTGATTACTCTCATTACGTACGACCTGTTCACGTTGATACTTTCTGTTTACAACCGATCCAGTTTCTGAAAATTTATGCACTAAATCCGGGACGTATCAATGCGAAGTGTTTTTGTGAGGATGACGGTCCTTAAAAATCTGTGCTGCCTGCCGTGCACAGTCATTATTCTTGTAGAACAAACTAATTATTTCCACTTTTTCAGTAATTTTCACTAATTGGAATTTAATCGACTTTGTGATGATTTTACGGGATATTGTCTCGACAGGACAAGACGAATATTGTCTCGTTTAAAGTAAAACAGGTAAAAAAGTTAAACTGATAAAGTATGAAGTTTTTGTATGGGCAGATCAACAAAAAATCAAAATAAATTTTTTTATCGACAAAATGTTGAAGAATGTCAGATAACGCTCGAAATGCTTCGAAATGTTCGTTCGGAAGTGAAGCAAAGATTTTATTATTGTATGGAAGCGGAGGGAAACCAATTTGAACATTTGATAAAATAACATTTTGTAACCCGAGAGGTTGTTTCTTTATTTATCTATCTACCGCTATGACCAGTATCATAATGATCCTGGATTTCAAAAGAGTTTACTATTAACTTCCCGAAAGGGAGTTTATCATTTTTATCATCTACACTTTAATTAATACGTGAGAACATAGAAATGTTGTACGTTCAGAGAAGTTCAGGAAGAACAAGCAAACACCAAAACTTTCCAGGATGGATTTTATTAACAACAAAAAAACACAAACATAATAATCAAGACACAGCGGATTCAAACAAACATTACACCACCACACAAAAAAAAAGTTGTCTGAAATGTACATGCGACATATGATTTCCGATTTTCGCCCGCTGAACACGAATCCGGAGTCAGAATTGCTCCATCACCCTTCAATTTTCAGCAAAACGCTGAAGAATCTTCTAAAAAATGAAAATTTTCCCTAATGATAGATCTTATAGATGGGTAACGTTCGTTATGAGCAATACAAAGTTTCTTAACATTTTTGCCCGCTAAATACGGGTCCGTAATGAGGGTTTTTAATCAACCTTCATTCTTCAGCAAAATTCAGAAGAATCTTCAGGAAAATTAAAACTCTCAGCTTGTTAGTTGAAGCTTTGCTTGTAATACATATTTTCCATGTATTTCTCCCGCTGAACTTTGATACGAAATCTTTTTTACTCCACTTACCTTCCGTCTTCAGAAAAATTCGGAATAATCTCCAGAAACATGAAGACGTCGTGCTTATTAACTATATCTTAAACTTCATTTATAGTATGTAGTTTAAAGTAAGTTTAGAGATTGACTATCTCATTTAATCTATTCTTATAGCTTGGAAAAGCCGCCTAAAAACCAGCTATTTGATCTATTATTATTTTCCTCACATCATTCTGACAACTTATTTAAATATCTTGGAATTCCTGCGTCTTTTCGAATGCATTTCGCGCGTTACTAGAAATATCGATTTTTCTCTTCACCATGGGCTAAACCGACGCAGTTAGTCGATACCAGATACTCAACACATGACCCCGACGGTCTAAATCAACTTGTTCAAAAACATTGCTAAATTTCACGAGGCCTTCTCGGAAGGGCGGCTTTGCAAATTTATTACTCCCGGTGACAAAAGGCACTAGTCTCTCGACGACTTTATGGCGACGCTAAACCTACTTGAAAACTCTTAACCTGAAATATAACATTAACAATTATTATCTATTTTTATTTAAATACAATTTAACAGGAAGTTATAGTAAAGTTATAGTATTTTTTAAATTGTTTCCGAAGTATTTTTGTCTGATAATATCTTTTGACGATTTTGACGAATAAGACGTTTATTTGTTTGTTAGCTTCGAACAGAACGTGAATAATAGAACGATATCGCACGGGGAGTGATAACTTCTGCATCCTGTTGATATTTCTGGCATGTGTTTCTTGATAGTATTCCACAACATTTTTAATTCTAGTTTATAGCGACATTCCTCAACCCTCAGGTATAGTTTAGTATGACTATTATTTAAATAAAATTAAATGTAACAATTTTTTTTGTACAGTCCTTTTGAGAAAAGTTGTCATAAATTAAAGATGAAAAATAAGACAGTGTTAATAACTTTAGAACTTTTCCAATGACATTTTAGAATAAGTATAATTAATGTAAGGTTAGGTTTTCAATCAAATTCAAATTTCATAACATGTCGGAATTACTTTTTATTATACAGAACGTCTAATTTTTCCCTGCAGAACGATATACATAGTATCTAAGAACGACCGTTTAATAAACAACATACAAAAAACTATAAAAATGTAAATTTTTTTCTAGGTGGGACAATGGGATGTGTATTTTGCAAGGCGAACCAATCGGCTGCAGACGTAGTCCTAGTCTTCGGCAACACCAACGGCATCGTCATCAAGGACTTCCGAAAAAAGGGGAAGACGATCAAGCAGATAGTCTTCGTCCTGCCCGAGATAGTAGTTACTAACGAAAACAACGAGCAGACTATTGTCTACAAACCTGACAGCCATCATGGACCTAAAGTAGAAGCTGCAAAGATTCCTCTTTAACGAACATGTAATGTAAAAAATATAAAAAAATTGTGATACGACTGGGATCTTTGGAGCTGTTTAATGTGATATTATTTAGTGTTAAGTAGGTAGCAAATGTAATTTTTATAAAATTATGTATATAGTTTAGTGTTAAGTGATTTTTTAAACGTGAAAAAGTAAGGAATTGTTAGAACCAGGTAGGGTTTCACGGAATTTGTTTAACGGACCACTATTTTTATACCTGCCAGAGTGATTCTTAATTTTATTGCTTTAGAAAGACTTATAATATGTAAATATAATTTGTTTATTTGTTTTTATTTGCATTTATATTTTCTATGCCTTGAAATTTTTCCATTTGGAAGGTACCATCCTGTAGCTACAAACAGACTCACGTTTGCGTCTCTATGATTCATTCAGCTTTAATCTATGTATAAAAAATACTCACGTAAATAAAAATGTTTAGATAACTGTATCATAAAATAATGTGGATGAATGCAGTCAATATCTAATGACTTTTATTTATTTGCTTCTGTAGATATGCAAGAAGTCATGTAGTAGATGTAATTAACTAATTACAAAAAAAAAACTGGAGTGTCAGTAATCGATAAAACACTCTTAGTCAAAAGTTTGGCATTTAGGATTAGCCATTTTAATTAATAGAATATCAGGCATACAAAAAGTCCAAACCTTAGATCCGATATATCATTTGCCAAATATTTTGTTGAGACCAAAACGATACCCTAGTCAGAATTTATGCGCGACTGGTCAATATTTTTTAAAATCTATATTTAGGGTGAAGTACAGAGGTAGGTGAAAGGGTGAAGCACAGGGTGAAGAACATGGCGAAAGGTTCCATCAGGTGAAGAAGAAAGCGAAAGATTCCATTAGGACCTCAAAGAAATGCAAAAGCGATTTCAAGAAAGATGGAACGTTAATATGTTAGCTGACTATTGTCATCCAATCAAAGGCATCCTCTTCTCAGATCATTTGAAAACAAAAGAATAAGATACTCTACAAACAAATATTAACAATAATCTCGTTAGTATGAGCAAAGCGAACATTCCTTTTTCGGCTAAATTGAGTGATTTTGGGCCCATTTCACCCTAAATATAGACTAGCTGGTGGTGCATAAATTCCGACTAAGGTATCGTTTTCAGCTGTCAAAATACGTCGGAAATGATATGTCAGGTATTTGGGTTAGAACTTTTTTGTGTGCCTGATATTCTATTAATTAAAATAAGCATCAAAATGAGTAGTCTACATCTTCGCATTAGAGTTTTTTTGAGGTCCGCGTATTATTGTTTAGATTTCACGTATTACTGGTTGCATAAATGGATATGATAACTAATAGTGAATAGTGGATAGTATAGATATTTCCAAGATTTGATTTTGTTTAGAAAGCGCTAAAACTTTTTGCATCCAGACTGCAGTGGTATATTAAATAATTCAACAAAGAATAAAAAGTATTCGAAAATACGTTTTTAAAAAACAGATGTTGAATAATTACAGTTGCAATAATAATCGTCATAATCAGTGATTATTCTTCTCAAAATCGAAATAAATCCATAGTTCCAATTTGTAGGTATTCATTCGGTTTTTATAATGCGAATGACTAGGAAATCCTTCAAATAATTCATTTTGCAGTAGTTTGATAAAAGTCTACCAAATTAAAGCACTACCGGAGTCTACGTCCTCGCAATCTAGTTTTTCTTGTGTGTCAGCGTTATTGTTTAAATTTCAAGTATTACTGGTTGCATAAACGGATATGATAGTACCTAGTAGATATTATAGATAATTCCATGATTTGATTTTGTTTAGATGTTGGGTCTGAAATATTTAAAAGCGCCAAAACTTTTTGTATCCAGACTGCAGTAATATATTAAATTATTCAACAAAAAATAAAAAGTATTCGAAAATACGTTTTTTTTAAATAAATGCTGAATAATCACAGTTCCAATAATACAGGGTGATTCACAACTCAATGGACATAGAACAGGTGCGTGCAGAGGACACCAAAACAAGTTGATTTTTCAAATGAATTTTTTTTCTCATACCTACGGTGGTGGAGATATTGGCCTCAGAAGATGTCTTAAAAAAATCGAAAAAACTCGTTATTTCAGTAACGAGTTAATACAGAACAACAAAATTTTGTAAATATATTTATTTTATTGACGTCTTTAGTTGGTAGAAATTTGAAGTGACCGGCATCTCAAGAAGGGGTGGTTTAGGAATGGGTCACCCTTAAAATTTTTTGAATTTTTTCAACCCTAACTTAATTTACAATTAAGGCCTACCAGTCAAATAGCATATACAGTTTTACATTTTTTTTCTTGTCAATTTTTCGAGAAACCGTTCGTTTTTGAGAAAATTACGATTTTCTGATCGGGGTTAAAACTAATTAAATCGAGCAAAAATATGTGGTTTTATAATTGCGGGTAGGCTATGCTACTATTGCTTTAAGGCCCACTTTTATAACCTAGGTTTAATAATGTCATGTCAAATCTGCAAATTAAACTTCAGATCGAGCTTAATCCTGGGTTTAACTTAGAGATGCATGCAGTAAATAAAATTGGTGCCAAGGTACTCTAGACCAGGAGTTTTTTGGAACACCTTTCAATAGTAGGCCGTGAATAAATTTGTCGGTATTCAGATTTGGAAAATTTTTTGCAAACATGAAATAAAACGTTGTCGCTTTATTAAATTATTTATTCAGTTCGTTCAACGCAAAATTTAACAAACAGTACTATTTCTATGAAACTAACTAAGTAATAGTAAAAAATTAACACTAAAGATGCTGTTCAAAACGGCTCCCATTTTCTCTTACACATAAATGAACTCTTCGCCGGAAGTGAATGTCATTTTTTTTATGGTGCATTTATTATTTATGCGGTTCCATAACTCTTCCTCAGTTTCAACAGAATTCGAATATACAATACAAATTCTTCTAAAATCCCCCAAAGAAATCGGGATTTATTTAAATCGGGCGATTACGGTGGTGAGTGTTGAAGGGTAGTTATTTCCACGACCTATCCACCGATTCGGAAACTGTTGGTTTAAAAATTCCTGAACATCCATACTGAAATGCAGAGGCGCACCATCGTGCACAAACCACTTTTCACGGTGTAATTGTAAAGGCAAATCTTCCAGTAGTTCAGAAAGAGTATTTTGTAAGAAATCCAAATAAGTGGCTCCGTTTAAGCGGTTTAATAAAATATCTGGACCAACCAAATATCGCCCAACATTACTTGCCCACACATTTATTCTAAACTCTCTTTGGTAATGATGGGTTACTATAGGATGTGGATTTTGATCCGAATATTCATGACTATTGTGCATATTTATAATCCCTCTCCGTGTAAAGCCAGCTTCATCCGTAAAAAGAATGATCCTGTGGAAACCAATGGAATCTAGGATGAAATTACAAAAAATCTTCCTTGGCTCGAGGTCTCGCGGTAATAGTTATTGAACATTTTGTAAATGATATGGATGCAGCAGATTACGTCTTATAATTCGATTGACCGTGGACTATAGTATGTTAAATTGCCGGGATATTCTTCTGGTACTGGTTTGGGGATCATTTTCAATACTGTCTAAAATGTGCTTCTCATTTCGTGTATTCACTGCGTATTTGCGACCTCCAACATTTCTTCGACGGCACAGAGAACCGTTTCCCGAACTCCTTGTTCGACATTGGCAAATGTTTGACGATTTGGAATAATACTAACAGCATATCAACTTGCTCATTAAATGAAAATTTTCCTGCCATTTTTACCAATAAATATTACGACAAACAAGAACAAGATGTACAAGGAATTGTTAATTTAATTTGTTAAACTTATTTATGTAACGTCAAATTTGACAACAATAACATTCTAGTAACAGTACAATTGAAGAGCAACAGTAGCATAGCCTACCCGCAATTATAGAATCACATTTTGTTCTATTTAATCGGTTTTGACCCCTATCACAAAATCGCAATTTTCTCAAAAACGGACGGTTTCTCGAAAAATTAACAAGAATACCAGCTAAAGACGTCAATAAAATAAATATATTTACAAAATTTAGTTGATCTGTAGTAAGGCATTCCTGAAATACCAAGTTTTTATATTTTTTAACATATTTTCTGAGGCCACAACCCTAGGTATGAGGAAAAAATTCATATGAAAAATCAACTTGTTTTGGTGCACCCTGTATAATCAGTGGTTATTTCTCTCGAAATCGAAATAAATCCATAGTTCCAATTTGCGTTTATTCGGTTCTTATAATGCAAATCCATAAAATAGTTTATTTTGTGGTAGTTTAATGAAAGTCTACCAAATTAAGGTCCAATTCAATATCGGACCGATTACCATATTGTGTGGCAATCATTTGTCGTACACTCTGTGGAAGGTAATCCCTGAAAGGTTGACGCTTTTGGTGTAATTTGTATAAAAATATATATTTATTTCCATTTTCAATCGATTATATTTATCCAGTACCTATTATGATTTTCAGGAATTTTCCAGTGTGAAAAGTAAAATGTCATGTCATATTTCGTTTTAATATTGCTTAATGGCTTTAATGGCTCTAATGATTATGCTACCTTAGCGCTAATAATAACAACTTTAATTAAAAGAGTAATAAAACATGGTTTTACTATTTTCATTCCAAAAATACAGGTTATGTTCGAAGAGAAATTTTAAATTTTAGTATAACTATAAAATAATAATAACTAGATATTGTCAGTGGTAGTGGTGAAATTATAAAAAAAATTAGGTATATTGATTCAAACTGAAATTTATTTTGCCGTACTTGTAGAGTTGGTTGCCTAAAAATTAGTATGAAATTATTTATTTGCGGCATAGTTTTTATTCACTTGGGTATTTGCGAGAAAAAAATAGAAACTAACTCCAAAAGAATCAGATAAGTTTTTTTTATGAAAACAGTTTTGCCTAACCAACAAAATATCTCCATGAAAAAAGCATATAGGTACATACCTAGTTACCGTTTCGAAAATGCATCTGTTTTTGTTATTAAAACCTGAAATGATACCAGGACGTGTCTTTCGAGTTTTTTTTTAACGAAAACAGATTGATTTTGATACGGGAAAATATGAAAATTATTAAATTAGCCATACATTATTTCAAAATATTTTAGTTTGCTTTTGGGTAATGTAAATTACAAAATGTTTGTCTAGGAATTATTCCATATAATCCCAGACTAATACAATTGTTTTAATTTATTATCAGTGACGTTAATAAATATTTATGACGGAGACAAACATAAATTAATAAAATAAATTTTAAAAATTTGTCAGGTGCAATGTACCAGCAAGTGA